ACCTCACAGGACAAAGATCCAGACACGACATTACAAATGTCTTATGATGCCTCAAGGAACAAGCATTATCAAACATAAATCTGCAGGCCATCCATGCACAATCAGCGGTACAACCACTTCCATCTACAAGTATTTGTAGGGGAACGTGGCTGGATGTGTACTCAGAAGGCGCGCCATATTTGTCCCGACCTCTCTCCTTATCATCCCAGCTTTAGTTCTGTCACTGTGGCGTTGTCGTCAGCATCACAGCATTGTCCTACATTCTGGCCCTACCCCCCATATCAGACTTGCCATAACACCCACCCACAACTTCAACTACACATTGATTCTAACACTCCAATAACTCAATCTGTGCTCACCAGTTGTAGGTTTAATCTGTCCATCTGATTGCAGTAAAGCTGCGAGTACTCTGTTACCTTGTGCTAGCACTAAATGTCTGCTGAAGGGCTTGAAGGGCATTGTTCTTCATTAGCTTTCATTACCCAGGCTGTAACCAAAGCCGTGTTAGTGATAATAGAGGAAGACTCATTGTTACAGTCACGCTTGTTAGGATTGTTTTCCTTTGGTTGTTGCAAAATTTAATGCTTTTGTTTGTTTTATCATTGTATCTCTGCCTTTTTGTGTGGTGAATAATGAAATAAGTGCTGCTTTAACTTGATTCATAAAGACGTGTCAAATAACTTTCACTCCCTTAGCATAGAGGATACATGGTGCTGACTACTTTAAATGTAACATTGAATTATTCGCACATTCCTTTGTATTGTATTGGGACTTTCCCAACAGATATTCAGAAGGTTTATATCACTCAAATAGGAAACGGTTTAAACTTTCCTGTTCTGACAGAATTCTTCCTTATTTACCATTCTACGATCACTTTGGAGAATGATCAAGTCTGAATTGTCAGAAGTTTCCAATCACTAACTCAAACTCTGCTGAATGATAATGGAAAGAAATATCTATAAGGAACACTACTTTCCCAGTCCTGATCAGTAGGCATTTTCTCATTTGAAACCTCAAGATATTACATCTCAGTTCTAAATAACATTTAGAGATGTCAAACCAACGACATATATGTCAAAATGAAAACAATTCAACTATGTTCATATCCTATTTATTTGATCAAATTGAAACTGAACAAAAGAACAGTCTGGAATGTCTAATAGATGGCAGAGATTGTATGGCAGTACTTCCCTTGGGCTATGCAGTCTCATCAATTCAAATGTTTTCCCATTTAAGCAAGAGATAGATGATGATTTTGACGGAATCAGTCGTACAACCCGTAACTGTTGTTCTGAATACCCTGTGTTAACTTTTTCGAGGTTGCATGATTAGAAACACTTTCCCACTGTCACTTTTCCGATCTGGTAAGTGACGCTCTGATTTGTTGGATGAAAGGTCGTTCTGACATGAGCTATAATAGGATGTCTTCAGATCTATGTTTTGTGGTAGTGAGAAATGAGATCTGATTTTAATGACGATGACAAACTTTCTATGTGTCTTCAAATGTGTGAAGTCATAATTACTATGTTTATTTGCTCACCTGATCATGTTTATGATTATTGTTTAATTATCTGTCAACACACTAACTGTTTTTGTTTTCTTACATTTTCATATGGTCCCCCAAGACTTCACATGCCCACAAACTATATTAATACTCTAAGGTGATATTGGACAGTCTATGTACTCTTTGTTCCCATGTCAAAATTGTCTTGAATAAAAGATAGAAAGAGGTAACTTCAGCTTGTCTTTTGCAAGAAACCAACATTTAGAAAAACCCTGTTTAAATTTGCTTGTTTTAAAGTTATTAAAAAATACTGAATTGAAAGGTTAGATTGTTGCACTGCATTCAGAAAAAATCATTTTTTTAAAGAAAATGTTTATAAATAACTTTAAGACTTCCTACAGAACTCTTTCAAAACAGGTTCAAAATGAAATACATTTTTTATTTGAAGTTTACACGATATACAGCTTTTCCATTGGATGAGAGGTAGGTCACATGACTGTGAATTGACGTTCATAAGTGTATGAATGACACAATTTGACGTTCATACGTTTTTCACGAGGCCGTGTTCTTGAAATGACGTAAACACTGACGGACTACTTCCACATTCCTGGGGAAACCCCTGGGAATTCCCTAGCACGAATACATACAGAAGCGTTCTTTCTGATCATTTATACCCTTTAATCTTGAACTCAGAGTTTTAGTATGCATTAAGAAATGTCATAGGGTTTGACTGCATGATCGTTCATGAATATCCTCACTACGACCCATACAAGTGAACAAAATGAAGAAATGCACAACCAAACTATCGTAGTAGTATCGACTTTATCCGTGTCTAGGCTGACAGTGACAGTCTACAGCAATCTATGATTTTACCTTAGTGTCTATATGGCACATCTTTAATCACCTTTAAGTTGATCAATGATGACTAAAACATGTAACCGCCATAGCTTCAAAAACAACTTTCAAAATCACTCCCGTCACATTTATCGCGTCGGCCATTTTGACGTCTTGTACTTGATGTAAATGTATTACGACGTGCTGTCTTTGTGATTGACTTACAGAAGTAGTTTGTAACAGACCTTTTTTCATCTAATGGTGATGTTATTTGAAAGTCAATTCTTAAGAGAACCCCTCACAGAGATACAGCAGCATGGATTATAACAATGCATAAATACTGCACATGGATGTTTTATTTATATCGGTTTCTTTTGCCTCATTAATTACACTCAGCCACAACCTTACAAAACTGACACAAATATCGAAGGTATGTCCCTTGAGTTTCAATATTTGCTGCAATTTTTACACTGTAGTTTTTTTTTTAATTGGTCATGGACAGTATCAATTTTGCATCGGTTGTTACAAGCTTATTGTGTCGGAATCATTGAGACTGGTGTTGAGGAGAGGGGGGAAAACATGGCTGTCAAGTCACCACCAAGTTAGCCAGTTTTGCACAATTTCAGTAATACCAAACATGTTTACAATTCAATTTCATCACATTGTTGCTAAATGTGGTAAAGATAATCTGAATCTATAACATCCGGATTACACAAGTTGTCAACAATATCGCCCCCCATGTTATCCTCAGCACCAACAAAGCCTTCCTAAGAACTGCTTCATAAAAAGAGTGAAAATGTTGAGTTACATCCTGTGCAGGGCTTAGATGCAACAATCTTGACTTGTTGACTGGAGAACAAGTGTGAGCAGTGGACCAGTAGCCCATGTTTATTGGACCTATGAATGCTTGGGGAGATGGCGGCCATTGATCCAAATTACTGGTGCTAAGCAGGACTGCAGGTGTTGACCCATGGATTTGTGGTGAAGGTTACCCAAACCTTCAGGCTGAAAGAATCACAGGGCAAAACAACTTGTTTGATGCTGTGTGTGAGATTGGGCCTGGACAGGAATTACTTGTCTTATCCACATTCTCCGTGTTTACTTTGATTCATGCTCTCTCACATATGTATTTTGATTTGGAGTTGACGATGTTTTGTTATTGGTAAATGTGTTTAAATGTTATTCATGAAATTGGTCTCATTTTATTTGGATGTTTAGTTTATTGTGTTTATATATTTTTTTAAACTTTAAATATTTTTGGATTTTGCTGAAATAATTATTTCTCTGGTAATGAAACACAATGAATTGACTTCAAATTATTATGAAATTATATATTTTTAATTTCAAACAATGACATTTGATACAAAAATGGACAGTACCTTTTATAGTTTATTTTGTTTTACTGATTTAGAAATTGAAAAGTATTATTAAAAGGAACAGTTTTGAAGTTACAGTATAGGAATAACATACTGTTGTACTGTGAGGAGGGCAGAACAGTGTAAGCAGAATGTGGTCTGCAAATGTTGCTGTAGAGTTTCTGCCTTAACAGTATAAACACTGGTGTATTTTGGAATGCACTGACAGAGGTATATCCTGTTGAACTGAGATGGATATTTGTGGAGTTATATTTATCACAATGTTACACAATGCCAGAGCTGTGCCCTCCAAATCACTTGAAGTAAAGTCAAACCTGACTTACATCAAGCTTTTGAATGAAACATTTTTGTATCGAAATGACTTAGACAGGTTTGTGTGTACACAAGATCTATTGCATTTGCCGCAAGCTAGTTGTTTTGTTTTTGGCAGTGTGACATGTTTTGTGATCTGAGGTGTCAACTACTCTTTCCGTATGTGCAGTGCCTTGCAGTGCAGTCTGCCAGAATTAAGTTTAACATTCAGCTGTGTGGATTCTGGGTTAGAATAGGTCCCCAACAACCTATGCTGGTCATCAGAAGTGACCAAATAGATCAATGGACAGACTCAGTGACCAGGTTGATTGCACGTTATTGTACCCCGATGGCGTGGAACATTGTCATTAGATTGTCTGATTTACTTGATTATTTTTTATGAGTGCGGCATAAAAACAACAAACTACTACTACTACTACTACTACTACTACTACTACTACTACTACTACTACCACTACTACTACTACTACTACAGTTCTGTTCATTTTCAATATAGATATAGCATTTGTACCATGATATTACAGACACAATAACCAACACTGTTAGTGTCCTCCACAAAGGGCATATTGTGGGAAAATATTTTTCATTAACGGCCAAAGGATTTCAGGTGTTGTCATCAGTGACATTTAATTATGTGTGTCTATAATGCATGGTTCCTGAAATATATTTAACTATAAAGTTGAATAAAAACCATGGTACAACAGAACCATGAGTATTTTTAAAGGAACCCTCAAGTATCTTTATTAATTTAATAGAGCTGAAAAAGGGATGAGTATAGGCTTCTAGAGCTGAGAGGGGTATGGTAACAGAATGGGGATGATTGTTTTATTAAATGTACTGTATGTATGAGTTGAAATATTTTCTCCTCAAGAAGTTTAATCATCCCGAAACAACATTACCAAAACCCAAATTTTTCAACAATTGTTATTGTGCATATGTATTTGAAGATGCTGACAGTTTTTGTTGCTTTTCAGTTCAAGTACAAACGGAGAGTTTACAAGGTGATGCAGATTAACCCTCGCAAGCTCAAGCAGCTGCATACAAAGGTAACTTCTTTTGTTAAATCATAAGAGAATGTGAAAATTATGAATTATACTAGACTGACCATGCAGTGAATGGATGATGGTTGTATGTGAAACTTCTATTCATGAAACAATCTTTCTGTTGACATATCCCAATTTTGAGTGAACCATTTCTTCTTTGGGTATTTGTATACCATGTATTTCACATTAAGTGGCTTGTATATATTCAATTCCATACCGAACAAACCAACAGTTTAGCATATTAAGTCACAGTCGCTGCTGCTGGAGTACGTTGACATGCAGTCAGCCAGGTGACACATGATAAGCATGGTGTAGTATGTGGGCTCCTCCCCTGCCCTGGAATCCCTATGGGTTGTGGTCCAATAAAGAACAAGAAGTCTTTCTCTGATTAAACTGATGTCAGATGTGATTTAGCTGGGGTGTTTTCTAGGTAAACATTGGTTGCTATATACATCTGAAGAATAATTCATTTTAACATGTTCTTCCATGTCGGTGCTATTTTAGAGTCAGGTTATTTCTTTTCTATAGTATTTATAGAAACAGTCAGCTGAGGAGGTATCAAAAAAGAAGCAAACTAATTCATTCATTTTGTTGAGTTGGTTGTTATGCTGTAAGAATTTCAAAAAGTTTTCAGATAATACAATATTATTTAGCGGGAGCTGTCATACCATGCAACAGACCATGTATCAGACCATGTGTCAATATGTTTTTGGCACAGACAGTGTATAGGAATTCCTCAAGAGTGTGCAAATGTTATGCACTGTATCTGCAGATTGATCTGTAGGTAAGTGAATCTATCTTGACTGTCTCATGTGACTGTTCACATTATTCTGTTGCCAAAGGAGTTAATCACAGGCATTTCCAGGGATCAGGCACTGACTTCAACTGTAGCGGAGAGCAGGAGGTAAACAGGGCAAAGTACATATGTTGCTACAAGCTCTTGCTTCTTGCTGTCTGTGTCTTGTGTGGAGACAGCTCCATTAACAGACAAGAATTGGCATGCTACTGCTACTGCCTTATTTGTTGATACTCATAATCATTTTGAACAATCCGACATTTTGTAGAAAATCATCATATCTAATGTCTGCCATTGTCTTGAGTGTCCAATAGTATCAACTGAGTATCAGTTGAACATCTTGACCTACAGATATCCCTATTGTGTAATTCTATATAATGTAAAGTACTGAATAAAGATGTACACTATAATTACTTGGTCAGTCTTTTAGCACAGAAATATTATCTGAGAACAGGTGACCTGAACAATTTCAAGATAGGACATTTTAAGAAAACACTGGTAATATGCTGTATTCTTTTGTTTCCTGTGAACACTGAAATACAGAATGTTCTTCTTTGATTGTGGCATAGGTGTATAATGTACCTACTTAGTTAGGGATTGAACTGTTGCATAATATAGATTATTATCTACTTCAGTGTGAAAGACTGAGTTTGCTGAAGTTGAGAAAAGTGATATATTCATTGCAGTGAACATAACACTTTCACTGACCTATTGCCGTACAAGAGTTATCTCCCCTTAATATCATAAGTGTCTAGCTTGTACACAAACTGTTGACTACCATTTACGTTAGTTCCACATTGACAAGGCCAAATTATGACAGATGGTCATTTATGGTGTTAATATCATTTCTAACCTTTTGTTACTCTATTGAAAATGTTTTGCTATAAACTGTAAATATCTCATTTAACTTGTCAATTGAGACTGTTTGTTTTGCAAAGGGCCATTTTTGATACTTGACCAGGGTGTATTCTTTTGCTTCCATCAGTGGTCTCATAGATTTCAAGAATATTTTTTGTTGAAGTTGATTTTGCTTATTATCATATCCAAATGTATGATAAAGCATTATATTCTTTGAAAGGCATTTAGAAGTGATACACATAAGGAAGAGAATTTGTGGATGTTTACTTCTTTGCTATGAGGAACACAAAGTTTCGGAGTATATACTTACTCCTTCATCAGGTGAAATGAAGGAGTAAGTATATATTCCTCATGAAGGAGTGTGTTCCTCATAATAAAGTAGTTGACATCCACAAGTTCTCTTCCTTACGAATTTTATTGACCTCAAATATTTTACTTTAGTTTATATTTTTTAAGATTTGCAAACACGGAACTACTTTTTAAGTCGTAATTACGAGGAGTGGTGAAACGTCCCTGTGTGTTAGGTCGGAGGTATTTATGTTTCAAGGTTTTACATTTGTAATGAAATAATTTCATTTCCGGTTACTGCACAAAAAGTATAAAATATATACGAATGTTCTCTCTATAAAGATCTGTTTACAGAAATCAGCAGTGTTAATTATTCAGGCCCTATCTGTATATGTTTATTTTACGTTTTGATACTTACTTTACTTCCTACAAATTGGTTGATCTAAGATGCAAATTATGCAGCTCAATAGTAAAGTTACCTAGATGAGGTGATAATGTATAGGATGTATCAAGGGAGAAAGAACAGTGAGAAAAGCATGACTTACATGCTTTGTAGCAGCAATATTTGTTTCATGTTATAGTTGGTGATGTTTGTAGACTCTTTTTCATAACCTCAAAAAAGAGTTAGAACATGTTTGGTGAGTAAATAAGGGTGAGTGACCTGAGCCGGAGATCTTATTGTGTGTGGGATGTGTAGGTATCATAGTGAGCACGTAGGTCATGCTTTTCCCACTCCATGTTTGTTCTGTAAACACTCAGTGTAGAGCGGTACTGTTATTGAGGGGCGGTAGATCCTGTAAGATAATTGACATGTATATGTACCTATTTTGCTGCGATTACAAGCAAGTGATTGAGTGGGAGCAATAGGTGAAGGGATTAACCATCATAATAACACCTTGGCACTGCAAACACTTGAGGTACAAGTGTAGTGTTTTTGATATGATGTAGATATTGCAGAAAGAGGGACATTTGTTTACCCAACTTTGCCCAGATTACATGCACGTGGTTGAGTGGAGTAGGGCAGAGGACATAAACTTACATTATTCTGGCAATGGCCACATGGATATTAGTAATGACCTGTCATAAACACTGTTTTGAGTGCACTTTTGCCTTGTTTTGGTGTGTAAAATAATCAGTTGTTGATATGAAGTACCGAATGTAATTTTGAGATCACATTTTCATGTTTTCTGTCATATCACAAAGTTTTTTCTGATTAAGTTTTATATTTGGATTAAATTTATCATACACTTTATTTAATTGTGAAAACAGTATCTCATTTCTCTTACATGTCAACAGGAAGGTTGCAATTGCTTTGAATATTCAAGGGGCGGTCGGGTAGCCTAGTGGTTTAAGCGTTCGTTCGTCACACCGAAGACCCGGGTTTGATTCCCGACATGGGTACAATGTGTGAAGCCCATTTCTGGTGTCCCCCGCCGTGATATTGCTGGAATATTGCTAAAAGCGGTGTAAAACCATACTCACTCACTCACTTGAATATTCAAACTCAAGCCACAACAAATAGATTTGATTTTGATGTATTTCATTGGAATAACTTGAAAATGAAAACAAACAAGTGATTTAATTGCACCTGACTTATGCCTAAAGTAAGGTCATTTGAGATCACTTTATCACATCTTCTGTTAACCTTATTAGGACTGTTTGTTTCACTTCATTTATTATTTGGTAAATTTTGATGACGAATTATCACTTACAATTCCTAAGTACCATCAGTGGAGATTCTTGTAGAACTTTCATGAATATCATTGAAGTATTTGCATTAAGTAATCATTAAACTTCCTCTTGTGATGTTTCTTGTTTGTCATCACCGTACCAATGATTGTGGGCTTCACAAACAAAGGTGATACGGGTAAAAGTTTTACCTGCATCATATCATGCTTTCCTTCCATATGAAGCTGACATGCACTGAAACAGAATGGTGTAAAACCCACTTGTTTTACTTCAACAGCTTTTACAGTGTCTAAAAAATGTGAACAATGGTGTAAGGCTAAACAGTTATTGATTTATGTGTCAGTTGTTCAATACCTGAAGCACAAAAGTCCCCAGCACCCCATGCTTAATGTAACAGCCAACAACTATGAGTATTAGGTGGTTACACTATGTGTGTGACCTGGCTGATTGTATGTCATTGTATTCATATTGTGTTGATCGTCACTGATGTTGTCAGGCATTAGTTGCCTGCTCCTTGCCTGGAGTCAATTATTGGCAGGACAATGCAATATGCTGGAATACTGCTGACTCTGACATTAACATGGATTCACTCGTTCACCCACTTGTCAAATCATGGTGATTAAGTTGAGCATCTGTACCAATTGTACTGTTTCTTTATCTGGAAAAGTCAGAATTTTAGTTCTTACAGCTGCATGCATGGTTCTTAAAACCATCTTTATCCTACATGATCTGATGAACAAGGATCAGTAAATACATTATTTTTTACTTATCCTGCATTACTCCTTCAAACATTTAAGGCTTTTACTGTTTCACTTCATTAAAACAACTTCTTTCTCAGCTGGACCCCCGCAGCTTCGTTTTCTATCAAAAGTAAGCAGTAAATGCATTAAGGAGTAATGCAGGATAAGTATACAAATGTACAAAATTATTTAGATTTTACTAAATTTCCTTAAAAAGTAAGTGTCAAGGGTAAATGTCCATCATAAATCCATTGTTGTTCTAAAGTGTTGCAATGAGGAGTCACTGCTGTTAATATTAACCTGTGTACTCCAGGTGTTGTCCAAGGTGTAGTTGTGATCTATACGACCTCGTCACAGTTTAACTTGGGAGTGATAAAAAGTAGGAAGATCCATGAAATCTGTTAAGTGCTTCTCTTGGAGGAAGGATTTTTCTAGCATGTCCTGAAATGGGAATGTTCTGTCAATGTAACACATATTTTGTAAGAGATGGGGACATGCAGGCCTTGCAGTCACCATATGGGTCCATTTTGTGACAGGTTAGTGAGTATGGCCAAGTTTGCTTTTTGAATAGTTCTTGTAGGTTGACAGTAATAGGGTGTAGGGTGCAGAGCTCCAGATAACTTTTCGAGCAATAGAGTTTTTACTGTAGGGTTTCAATTTTAATTGGGTTATTACATTTTTCATTGGGTAACCAATATTTTTTCACTCATCTATTCATCACTGTATTGTTTTTTTCTTAAAATTAGTGAACATTTCAAGATTTAATAAAAATGAAATAATGTTTTAGATGTATATAACTGTTCTAAATATATAGGCTTGACTTGGAAAGTAAATTACCTCATAATTGTGTTTCGGAAATAAGCTCTTTTGTACGCATGCTGAAAAAGCTTCATTGGGTATTTACACGTGCTGTTTTTACACATTTGAGTTTTTCATTTATTGCATGCGTTTCTGTATGCAAGTTAATTAAAAGTAATTGGGTTTTGAGTATGTTTTGGGGGTATTTGGGGGTATTTTACGCAAATACGCTGCTTATCTGTAGCTCTGAGGGTGTTTAGCTGGGGTTAGTGCCTTCTGAGAATAGGCTGTGGTTAGAAAAAAGAAAAATTGACTTCATTTCTCTAATATCAATGGATTCTTGACCCGTGAAGATTCCGGGGAAGCATAGGTCTTCAGCAACCCATGCTTGCCGTAAAAGGTGACTATGCTTGTCGTATAAGGCGACTAATGGGATCGGGTGGTCAGGCTCACTGACTTGGTTGATGCATTCATCGATCCCAATTGCGATTGATGCTCATGATATTAATCACTGGATTGTCTGGTCCAGACTTGATTATTTACAGATCGCCGTCATATAGCTGGAATATTGCTGAGTGCGGCTTAAACAACAAACCATCCAACCAATGGATTCTTCTTTAGACTTGATAAATTATCAGAACTTAATTGGGGTAATTAACAGTTGATAAAGTTTAGTTTCTACAAAGTACTATGTACAGAAGGTTATTTCTTCATATTTTTCATTACCATGTGGTGTTGCATTTAAGATGGACCTGATGTGGTGCAGCATTTGACTAGTTGTGGACAAACAGAATCAAAATTTCATGACAAAGTTTTCAAATTTTTTTCGGTTCCAAAAGGATATTAGTTCTACATTTTTAATGTTCATTGTATTGAAAAGACATTAACATTGATACAACCCTAATTGTTATATTTATTAAGATTATTTGTGAAAGTAAATTCAGCATTACAGACTCCAAGGATCGTGTACAGCCTTATGAAGTCTATGAAGGAATGTGGAGTGAGACATGAGTGCAGGAGGGATCTGTGGCTGGATGGTTTCATGATGTGGTGTCAGAGTAGTTTCCTTGGTGATTCAAGATTCACATGGTTACACAGATGCTTAGCACTTCAACAAGTTAAACTCATTTCCTCTTGCTGTGTTTCAGAGTAATCTAAAGCATTTTATCGAGCTGGTGAAGAAGGGAGACTTGGATAAGATCAATAAACTGACCAGTAAGGGCCTTGACCCCAACTTCCATGACCATGAGACTGGAGGTGAGTTGGGGATTGCACAAGTGTGGGTTGTCATTCTTACAACCCATTAAACAGGAATTGACTGTAACATTTCTCTGTGCAAGTCAGATGTATTGAAAAGTTTTTGTAATTACCAATAGGCCAATGCAAATTTATTTTTCTCGTCATATCTTCTACCCCTATCTATTTTCTGATCATTTACAAGTTATGGCCATTGGCTTATAATATATTCATCAGAATAGACCATTTAATATTGAACTTGATGCAATATGTAATAACTAGCCTGTTTAAGAATTGGGTTCCAACCAATGTGAAAATGAGAATGAGAATGTGATTGTAATATTTGTAATTAAACTTACTTTGTGGTAAGTCTATAGAAAACAAATGCAGATCTGACCCTGTTCCGCTACCAAATAAACCACTGGCCATTTCTGATACTGTTGCATCACCTGCTCACACCTCTGCCTCCAGAACCATTCAACATAGCAATCCTAGTGCTATGACTATGACAAAGTAAACAGTTACTATTGTCAAACAATTTGTAATACATAGCCACTGAAAGTTCCTGACAACTACCCCATGCTGACTTATAGCATCAGATGGCCACAATGGCAGGTTAGTGTGGATAGTCTGGACAGGTGTAATTACCAGGGCCCACTTGCACAAAGTGATCTTAGCATTCTGACTATTGTAGGCCTATGTTAAAGTATGGGAGTTACAGTATTCATAGCTCTATGCTTTGTGCAAACTAAGTGTTTGCAAGCTGCTGCTATACTACATGTACTGATGCATGTTGTGTTTTTACAGAAACCCCCTTGACCCTATCCATAGCTCTGAGTAAGGAGAAGTCCCGTGAGATGATGATAATACTGGTGTCGGGTGGGGCACATCTTGACTTCCGTAACAAGCAGGGTCTCACTCCCCTACACAAGGCTGCTGGACTGGGTATCCTGGAGAATGTTAAGGTACTTGCTGGAGTTCATTTGTTACAAATGATTATTATATATATAAATATATGTATCACATCCAGCTTGACAGTTAATTAAGTAATCATTTGATGAAGTAAGAGACTTTATGAAGCACAGGTTACTGTTATTCTGTTAATTCACTTCTGGAACAGATGTAGAGAAACCAGTACTCTGGACTGAAGATTACAATGTGATGTAGCATGGTTACTTCGTAAGCTACCAGATCACATGATTTGAGACCTATCACTTGCTGCTAAGCAGTTTGAATGACCTGTTGTAGATCATCAAAGTAAACAAAAATTGTTTTACAGTGATCATGCATGTAAGAGGTTCATTGTTTTAAAAAATGAGATGAAAGAAAAGTGCTGCTTTGAATATTCCTTTGAAAAAGAAATCAAAGAATTACTTCCCTTCTACTTTGACATTTTTGGTGACTGACATTGAGCAAACTTGATGGGAAGATTAAACTTTTATTCCATTCTAAATTTGTGTAATGGTTGGTCTGCGGATGTGTAAATCAAGTAACAAAAACCGTACCTGATATGCATGGTTATGTAATGGTGCATTGTTGTAATACTGTCAGACTCTCCTGGACCTGGGGGCCTCACCTAACTACAAGGATCTGCGGGGGCTCACACCTCTCTACTATGCTGTGTGTAATGAAACCAACCCTCTGTGTACAGAGATGCTTCTGCATGAGAGAGCTTTCATTGGACTGCAAGATGAGCAGGGCTGGTTTGAGATACATCAGGTGGGACTCCAGTGTTAAGCCCAACAAGTACAGCACTGTCAAACCCCATGTCACATATGAACTGCATGATGTTACCTTCCTCTCATTTACATGGACAGCTGATTACTTATAGAACACATTGTGCTATTGTTTTGAAACCTTTCAAATGAACTCTCTGGTGATAAAAGTTCTAGATGAAATGTTGATGACTTCTTGTATGTTATTAGGGATCAGTGTTCTTCGTAGAGTGTTTCTCTGACTGTGAGTACTGTCAGAATTTCCATACGTCATTCCCCTCAGTCAACTCTGATAATTATGCTTGTAGATAACAGGATGCTGCATATTGAACCTTACAGTACTTAATTTCTGAAAAGTCAATGTTTTCATTTGTCAGCCAGAACTATAAATATGTAAGAAATGATATGAATACAAACATATTTTGTTTCTTCCTGCTTATGTTTTGATAAGTGCATTAACTTCCTTTTACTATGATATATGATAGTGGGGTGGAAACGGTTAGAAATTGAATAATGAATTTGTTATAGTGTATAATATGTGATAGTAGGGTTGGAAAAGGTTGAAAATTGAATAATTAATTTGTTATAGTGTATAATGTATGATAGTAGGGTTGGAAAAGATTGAATAATGAATTTGTGATAGTGTATAATATATGATAGTAGGGTTGGAAAAGGTTGAAAATTGAATAATAAATTTGTTATAGTGTATAATGTATGATAGTAGGGTTGGAAAAGGTTGAATAATGAATTTGTGATAGTGTATAATATATGATAGTAGGGTTGGAAAAGGTTGAAAATTGAATAATGAATTTGTTATAGTGTATAATATATGATAGTGGGGTTGGAAAAGATTGAATATTGAATTTGTTATAGTGTATAATATGTGATAGTAGGGTTGGAAAAGGTTGAAAATTGAATAATGAATTTGTTATAGTGTAATAATATATGATAGTAGGGTTGGAAAAGGTTGAAAATTGAATAATGAATTTGTTATAGTGTATAATGTATGATAGTAGGGTTGGAAAAGGTTGAATAATGAATTTGTGATAGTGTATAATATATGATAGTAGGGTTGGAAAAGGTTGAAAATTGAATAATGAATTTGTTATAGTGTATAATATATGATAGTGGGGTTGGAAAAGATTGAATATTGAATTTGTTATAGTGTATGATATGTGTTATTCCATGCTGGATGCCATGATGCTATGTTCCAGGCCTGTAAGTATGGCCATGTGCAACACCTGGAACACCTGCTGTACTATGGGGCAGACATGGATGTTCAGAATGCCAGCGGGAACACTCCTTTACATGTGTGTGCAGTCTTCAACCAGGTAGGAAATACTAGGAATTCTCATCTTTATTAGAACTAATCATATAGATCAATCTGATGTTATGCAGACATTCTATCCCCCAAATGAATGTGGGAGGACTAGTCAGCTGCAGCTGGCTTCTGATATGCAGAAGGCAGCTCAGTGGCAGTGAAGGTGGATTTTATGAGTGTTTCACATTCAGTGGCGTTATGTTGCTTTATGTTCCTCTTTATACACTTCTACATCAAAGTATTATTTATTCAGACATTTCTTAATATCAAGGAACTGAACAAATGTTGATGAGTTATTTGTGTTCCAAATCATCATGTCCTGCCTGTCATAATGGGAGGCTCATTTACAGTGAGTGAGTGGGTTGGGATTTTATGCCACTTTCAACGATATTCCAGTAAATCACAGTATGTCGGCTTCATGTGGAAGAAACACCCAACTTACTTTGAGAGTTTCTACCTTGGTGAAAGCCCTGAGCATGAGTATGGTGCCTACTGATCATATGAAGCCTCAAACAGCAGAATTTGGTAGAGGGAGGTTGTATTGGCCAAGTGGTATTTACCAAAACTCTGCACCGCTTAAACCCCTGGGCCACCTGTTTGTTTGTTTGTTTGTTGTTTAACGCCACACTTATTCCAGCTATATGATGGCGGTCTGTAAAAGTAGTCAAGTCTGGGCCAGACAATCCAGGTATTGACATCAGGAGCATCAATAAACACAATTGGGATACAATGACATGCATCACCAAGTCAGTGAGCCTGACCACCTGATCCCATTAGCCGTCTCTTACGACAAGCATGCTGGGCCACCTGTGATCAGGTGTAGATGAGGTTGTAACTATTGTTTGTTTCTTGTGTGACTTCTCACAGTTGGTGATGGTTTCCCAGACAAATACACTGTCCCACTCCACTGTTGCAGGAATCGTGTGCACGGGTGTTACTGTTCCGGGGCTGCAGCAAGGAGATCCTCAACTACAACAACCAGACAGCATTCCAGATTGCCATCATTGCCAACAACATTGACCTTGCCGAGATCATCAAGAATAATAAACCAGAGGATGCTGGTGTGTTTTGTGCCAAACATTATTTGACTCCCCCTTAAGATCATGTTGTTTATTGCCCAAATAACTAATCATACTGCCCTTACGCTCTGTGTGTATGTATTACAGCATCATGTATCTTTATTCAAGACAACGCTACATGCATGAAAGCAAGGCTTTATCTTTTGCCTTTTTTTAAAGGCTGCTTTGTCATCTGATATGATTTTGTGTTCACTGCATAACTTGAACTGTTATGTGTTCCTTTAATGACATACGTGATAACATTTTGACATCAATCTATTCTGAGATAAACCAATGAAGCTGAGAATCATAGACTAAAGTCAAATTCGGACAGATATGCCATGATATATCAAATAAAAAGTAAATTATTGTTGTGTAATGCATATTGCAAATGTGAATGGGAGAAGCACCACATTGGTTGTTAAGCTATGGTGTCACTGCATTGTGACCTCATTGCGTGATGTAAAAAATGGAATGTTACTACATGTTAGAAATTGAGGAAAATACATAGATTCAAAACTTTTTACCCCTTTCCCTGCAAATTAGCACCTAAACCTATAACATTTTTTCCTTTGGATGCCTTTTTTTATCAATATGTAGTTAAAATATCATAATGAAATATATACTATTGATCTTACTTTTTGGAAAAGTGTTAACACGATGAGTGTTTTCCCTATGTGCCTCCATAGCGAAGTATGAATTTATAGCAGTAGTTGTTTACAAGTGCAGCTGGCGTAATAAAATGCACATTGACCCACTTCTTTTTTCTATTGGAAAGTTAGATTAAATCATATTGTAGAAAAGAATACTTTTTTCAGAAATGGTTCAATACACCTTGTACTGACCATCAAACATCCTTATAACATGAATAGTTTGTCTTTCAATTCAGAAGTTTCTATGAATCTTAGTAACAGCTTGATGTTATTGCTGCCATTCAAAATTGCCTCATCAACATTACTGTTTGCAGTACCATTTCGTGAAGTGCCCAAATACAGTGATAGGAGGAAAGGCTCCACCATGACCCCAAGTATGCGAGCCATACATCGAAGTCGGAGTGACCCACGTCTCAACATCAGTGTCATTGAAGAACAAATGATGAGACAGGGAATGTCCAATCACAGCTTGACACATATGACAGACACCTACTCCAACGGCTCATACCCTCCGTCTCGGGAATACAACTCGGACTCGCCACGATCTCTCAGCGTCTCCAGCACTGGTTCAGGGCCAGGTGGGTACCAGCCTCTTAGTAGACAGTTTTCTAGAAGTGTGTTGCTCCAGCTTCGTCCTTCCACTTTGATGTCTCTTTGTGTTGAGTGTTGTGTGTCATGCCACTGCAGAATAGTTTGCTCTTTTTGGTTTGTGCATGAACTTGCAAAGTAAACTGAAGATTATGAATACAATGGTCAAAACATTCATAAATAATAAGTTCATTCCAATACATCAGATGCAATTGATCAAGATGACAACTAAATACATGTTCATGTTTAGGCTATAGTGAGAGCTATGCTAATTGATCATGTAGCTGTTGGCTGTGCTTTTTGGTATTAATTGAATTACGCTCTCCAAAATGGCTTCACCTTATGGTAAATAGGTTAAGAACACTTGAAATGTTCCTAGCAATCCTTTACTGTTAATTATACCGAATGTAACATGTTAACTAAGTAAGGAGTTTTGTGCATATCATTAGATATCTAAGTACCACAGAAAATTTCACAAATCATACCTGATAAAGTTCAAGCAATAACAATACCATATACCCACCAACAATAAACAACACTTGATGTCAGTCTCAGCCTCTATACAATAACCCTGTGAAAGATCAATGCCCCTCGGTATCCCAGTCAGCCAGTAATACTATGTACCACAGTCATGCTGAAGGGAATCCAATTTCATTAAGCTTTTCTGTATATTAGCTATGGTATACCGTGGCCTCCACTGATGACATTTGATATTGTTAGTTGTGCAGTTACCATGCTTCCAAGCCTTACTTTGTGCTAGCTTTGAACAAATATGCCTTATCCCACTCTAGCTTGGCATAGGAAGAAACAGCTGAGATTTTACAAGTATTCTGGTAAGATGTACTCATGTAGTCTTAGAGATGTGTATACCCTGGTGGAGTTTGATTAAGGTTATGATTAGGAAGTTCTTTCGTATTGTGTACTGCAACATGGCTAGGTTTACATGGGCTTGTAGGGATGTTGGTGGTATGTGTTTGGTGTCTGTTTTGTGGAAGGTATTTTACTTGCTTGTCACTTTCAGAGGATTCTAATGAAAATTATATTTTACGCAGACTTTTACACTGTTTGTAATAACTGCAATTGCCATAAATTTAAGAATGGCAGTCCAATGCCAATGCATATCTTTGATCAAAATAATAAAGATATCTTGTCAAAATTTTGAACTTAAATGTTAAACTGGAAGGCTGGCCATATCTTGGAAAAGGTTAGTTTTGGTCTTACCAAATTTGCATAAGACACTTTTAGAAAATTCTCTATGCACTATTGTGACCTTTGAAAGATTTTTTTGAAGTGGTAGAGCTTTGTTAACTTTATGATATTTCAAGTTAAGTCTTGAAGCTATCCTCTTCTCTACTTGGTAGTCTATGTGTCAGCCTTTCCTGCTTTAACAGGTACCAGACACTGCCACAGGCATTTATACCATACATTTATACCATACTGACAGAATTATATACTCAGTCATACTTACTGATCGTCTCACAACTTCAGAATCTACTGCTTGATTAAGAAGTCTGTGCTATAACGCTAATGACAGTATGTCAGTATCTATCTAGAGTAAGTGAATGGGTTGTCAGCAATATTCCAGGTATGAGATGGCAGAATGTAATTAATTTATTCTGGGCAAATCAGTGGTTGACAGCATGAGCAACTAAGCATAATGTATGGGTACAATGAAAAGCAATCAGCCAGGTCACACACTGTATATGTTGATCCATGGCAGTCTCATTAGAGGATGACATAGCTTAGAATGTGTTGACTTTGAGTTATTAAAGGATAGCTGTTATTGTTGTGCTTAGAAAATAACAAGAGCACAGCCATTCAACCATTCAACCATTATGTCTTGTTCAAAACTGTAGTTTTGTGACGATCACCTACATGATATTATCCTTCATTGATAATCAGTCATGTCTTCATATCAAATCATGTTACTAGAAATCTAATACTCATTATAACCATATGTATAATACTGCCAGATTTTCATCCTGACTCATTTTTAGTATTGATGTCAATACCACAACTGATAAATATTAACCTTATTTTCTAATTTGTGAAATTGCTAAATGATTAAAGAATTCGGAAGATATGTAGCTGGCTCTAATCGTCAGAACCTTTGTGGAGCCCATTAATCTAGTCAGCTGAAATTTCATTCAGCATTTGTCTGAATTAAGTGTGTTTCCAAATATATTATCATTTATCTCTTAATGTGAATAGTTTGTTCTGTATCCTTTGTCCAATAGGCAAAGCACCAAAAAAGGTTTAAAGAAATGTCTCTTTTGTTTGTTTTATTGTGATGAATTCAATCAGTCAGTCTAATGCATGGATGAAAAACTAGCAAGTCATTTTCATTGCTTTAAGCTTGTCTATAGTTTTGGAGTTTGCTCTGTTGATTCAGCTTTATAGATTTTATGTAGCTTCAACCACCTCCTTCTGCAGGTGTCATACCATCATCTCAGTATGAATACGAAAGAACACGTCTCTATCCGGCTATCCCAAGTCGCTTTGTCGTCTGTGTAAAAAAATACCAACCAATACACACAGCAGAGCTGAAGCTTAGGAGGGGAGATATTATACAAGGTCTATCAGGGCTTTGTTTTATGCATGATCAACATTTTATGCACCTTCTTACTTTCTTGATTCTCTAATTCACATTACCCTAATCTTTTTCAAGTTAGAGCATGTACATAACTAACATTTGCAGTTAAAGAAATATTCACTCAGAGAGGATTATGGTCTTATTCGATTTCATCTGTTCAAACTCTTCCTGACCTTTTGGGGGTCACTGTAAACTAAAGCAATAATTCTAGGTCTGCACTCTCATGGACCCACTGGCTGTGTAACACCATGTGAAAAACATGATGTGGCACTGTTTTGTAATATTGCCTTTCTAATGAAACTAATGCCATGTTCTAATTGCTCTTCTAGCAAGCCATTCAAAAGTACTATCAGATTCAGTCGTTAGTTTTCATAGTGTGTGTGGCAAATTGACTTCACCACAGCTCATCCTAGAATTAGTGCTGAATGTAATCTCTTTCCCTATGCTATTTTTATTATTTTAGAGAGGTACTTTTAGATTGAGCAATTGAATTTGAATTTTAAAAAAATTCATAATCCTCTTACATGTGTTCTTTGGAAACTCACTGACCTGATCAAAACTAACAGAGATGTTTGTTCCATGTTCCAAGTCCATGTTCAATGTGTTCAGTTAAAAGGACCTTCCTTGCAATACACACATTCCTCTTCATTTATCTCATTTAAGTTGTTCTTTATCTTTTGTTTTATATGCCAGATTATTGTAGAGACCATTTGTTATAAAGACAGACATTTTGTGTATCCTCAGATGCTTACTTAAACAACCAGAGGCTTTACTATTCAGCAAGATTAATTCAATGAGGAGCCCGTGTTAATCATGATGTTACAATGATAAGGAATATGATCTTCCCTTTCAGATGTTAGTAGTCTGTAATATCTATCTCTTTTTCAGATCTCTTTTGATAATATTTACTTGCTATAATCTCTCATGCAGTAGCCATATGGTATCAAAAGATGTTTGTTTAAAAATTGAACAGAAATACTTGTAAGCAGTAGTATTATGCTGTAGGATAGATTACACTTGCTGTCATGTAGCAGCTCTGTCAAATATCTTTCAGTTTACCCTATAATAAATAATCCTAAACTTCATTAGTGATAGAGTTTATTCTTTGTATATGTATGGAATATCACTAGTTTACTTGTCCAACGGAAAATTAACTGGAATCTGGCTTATTGGTTAGATATAGAACTAGTCTACTGATTGAATTCCAAATTTAGGATCATTTACAGTGGAGTTGCCTCCCTTTTGATGTTTTGGACTGGAATCATAATCTTTGTTCTGAAGCTGCTTACTGCCTGAGAGATTACAGTAAACATTTCCTCTCCATCCTGCTTGCATGACAGCAGTGTAATCTACATGTAGACTGACCTAAACTAATCTGAGATTAACATCACCATGATAAATGATATAACTCATGTTTACACTTTGTATTTTATGTTATATTGAGTTATATAGTTTGAGTTTATTTAGTTTCGTATCCATGGCATTGTTGAAGGTTTGTATGTTGAAAAGGAGAAAGACAGGAAACATTATATCCCTTCGGACTAAAGATTGTAAAGTTGGGTTCACTTTCCAAGATGTTGAACACCACAAGCTTTATTAAAATGAAAATCAAACTTCAGCTGATATTTTTGGTTTTCTTTCTACCCCTCTGTTTTTTAATTGATGGGCATGATGTCATTAACATTGTTATGGGCCTTTTATTTCTTAATTGTTACAACACCTACCATTTAATGCTTTTGTTTTGGGTAATTTGTAAAAAATCCTGAACTTAGTGAACCCATTGAGAAAGCAGTTCATGACTAAAGTCATTATAATAGATGGGGTATGTCATGGTCACAACAATATACAACTTGTCATATTTTGTTGATTACATTCCACATGCAGCAGTTAGTTTCATTTTCTAACACTATTCAAACTAAAATTAAGATTATACATTACAAGTTAATAATAGCATAATATCATTGATGCATATCAGTGTAAATGTACTGTAGCTAAGCATGAATGTGGTTGATAATGATGAGCTTTATGTTTCAGTGTTAAGTGTTGGGGATCAGGGATATTATGAAGGCCGAACTGATGGGGGAAGAGAGGGATGGTTCCCGGGGACCAATGTGAAGGACATCACTTTACGTAGAGGTATGATACAATATGTTTTTGAATAATAACCTTAAGTGCACATGCTAGATTTCAAGCTTCATATTAATAATGTCTAGAGATGTGGCTAGTTATTGCCAAATTGTAAATCAAGGCCCTGTTTCACACAAACCGATCATGGCACTTTGGCTATCGTAGTTTCTATACATTAGGCTTAAAAAAATAAAATTGGTTCTCAGGCAATGGTTTTTGAAAATATAGTGCGGGTGGTGTATTTTTTTTGGGTGGGTTGGGGTGGGGGTTGTTCAAACTAGTATGTAACCAATAAACAATTGTGTACAATCAACCTGGGAAAGGGCCTCCCTACATAAATCTATTCCTTTAGTATGAGTAAAATACTGGAATACAGTATTGGACTACCATTGGACTTTTTTTGGTCTTTTTGGGGGGTATAAAATGGAAATAACAATGAAACGTGAACTTTATGATGATGCAGGCGGTGCTTGAGAACCAAGACAATTATTTTTTTTAGCCATAACATAGACTTTATGAGGTGTAGTCCTTCGATCACTTTGTGAAACAAGGTTAGATGTCTGTACAGTTGTAGAGTGTGTTATTACCAACATAGCTTATTACACAGAGCTAGGTTCATCTTCAGACATCTACATGTTAAGCTATACACCTTATACAATGTGCACTTTATTGTATCATTTACTCCATTCATGATCTAAATATGCCACGTTTTAGTTTTGCCTTATATCACATTACTTGTGACATTTTTATGACCAACTGCTTGAATGAGATGCAGGTGAAGGAAGTGATGTAAAATCTCATTGATGCAAAATATGTTTTGACTCTCATTATGCTCAATGGTCCAGTGATAATTTCCAATCTAGGTCTATGTTGCAATTAGTGCCTTTTTAAACTGACCTAAAATTGTAAAGAAGCTGACATTAGTTTAAAAAAATATTCATAAAAGAAAGTGTAGAAGGTGTTTTACATTTTTTATGAGAAATCATTTTCAAAGTTTGGATTCAATATGTTTTCAAGTACATGGTACATGTTTGTCAAAACCACTTATATATAAACTTGCAGCTGGTTCAATGGGTGACCTACTTGGTGGTGATACCGTTACTCTCAACAGAAACACACTGGCGGCCCTCATCAACGCAGATGATCCGTAAGTACATAGTAATCTCCCTTGAATCATCTTTCAGCGACTAGTCATGTTTAAAACTAGTTGTATTTATGTGTTTTGTATTGTTCTCATTCAACAATGATGCCTTCTTCTGAATGCTGATGATTCAAACACAGAATTGCCGTTTTCCTTATTCAAAATCTTGGCAGGCTTGTTCAAGCACACAAACACATATCTATGTTCATTTGTGAATTGCAGGAATGAATTCATGAGATCTCAAGACAAACAATAAAACTATGCATCTAGTAAGAATATATGATAATACTTATCATTTCCTTCACTTATACTAGTTATAGTTTGGGTACTGTCCAGAGTCGAATTTATGAAAGTATTTGAGTAAACAATGTCTTTTTAATGTCTTTTGTTTGAAAACAACAGATTGAAAAACAGCAATTTTTCTGTACTCATTTGTGCAGATATGAACTTTAAAATAAACCCAATTGGTGTTTAAAGTGTGTCTGCTGTACTAAAAGTGTTCATTTTGTCCCCTGGGAAGTATAACCATGGTTGACCTGTATGAACCGGTGATGTCTCTCTGAGGGTCACTTAACCTGGCTATGTTGTGTGCGCCTTGGGTGAGAACTCACTGTTTAACCCTACAGCAACTCAAGCTTTTACACTTTCCTGATCATCAAGTATTCTGATTATTCTTTCTACCAGTTACTTGCCAGAAGGCTGATGGATGATTTTGCTTTTTAGTGGGTTAAGCTTAGCCTCATGTGATCTTCTGGAGATGTTTTGAAATAGTGTTAATGCATCGTTGATGCCAGATCATGAGATATGAGCCAAGGTCAAGGCAATGGAAGACGTTAATGATATCAATCAGTGAATGTCTCAACAATCTACATGTCCCCAAAAGACTGATAAGAATACAGTCAGGTAGAACATACACTTTATGTAACGGGTACTGTCTACTGTTTAAGATTGCCAACCAACAGTTTGAGTATATCAGGTATATTGTTTCATTTGATTACAACACTGCAGGTTATGGTTGTTGAGAATATTCAGTCTGGTGTACATTTATTCATGTTGATGCAGAAGTTCTGCAATGTTTATTTTGAATTACCTTAGTTTTTGTTTTGAAATTGGGCTGATCAGTTGCCATAGTTGCATGCCTGCATACACTTCAGTGTACTGTCAAACAAGATATGACAGTACATGTCAACCTGCAGTAGTTCACAGTCGTGACTAACATGCTCGGTCCTGTACACTCTCTGAAGCAGTGAAGATAAGATTTCAGATTCTTGAACCTCACAATAGTGATTTAATCTTGAGGATTTTTTTGTTTCTTTATTTATGTGAATTTACAGAAGTACTGAATAGAATTTTTTGCATTAGAAATAAACAACTTGGGGGTACTATAGGTTACAGGACGTTAAATAATACAAGAAGATCTCTGTTGCTTCTACATGCATTGAAACATGATACTTTGTAAACAGTTGTTGAAGAAATCGACTATGAGGTTCTGATTTATTGAGTCACTGTACAAATGCAATAATCTTGAGCGTGACATTAAACCCCATTTCACCTCACCTTACCTCTGATCTATTGAAAGCAAATGATATTTATTTTTGAAGGTTTAGAACAGCTGCTTAGTGCAACTTGGTTTACCTTCAAGATGACAGTTCTACCCTACCATCCTTTCACTCCTAATCTCCCTGACAGTGATATCAATCCCTACCCCAACTCCCTGTTGAAGTTGAAGTGCCACACCACTGGGCAACAATTTGTGGAATGTGTAATAATCTGTCTTCAGTTGACTTGTGTGTGTAGAGTTGTTTGTGGGTCAACGTGTTGTGACCTCTAATCATTAACACTGTAATCAACACTGCTTGTATTATAGTTGTGGTATGCTCTTCTGGTTGCTATAGTCTTCTCTGATAATTATTAACAGCATGCATGAAAACAACAGATATGAACAGTGATGGTAATGTTGATATGAAGGATTAGTAGGTTCCCTGTTTCCTGTTCTCAGTAGGAGTGCTGAAGAACTTATGTAACATCTATCACACCTAGATAACTGCCATATTGGTTATATAATGCAAGCACAAGTGGACATGCAGGGCAGGTATTTTAAGGTGAAGGACCACGCAGGTTGTGGCTCATTGGTTTACCAGGATTGCAGAATTTCAATTTTGAAGCAACTTAATAAAGTGCTATGGAAGTTATTTTAGGTTTTGGAAAGATGGGCAAAGGGCATTTTCAGTCTTGTGAAATGCCAAGTATATATATGTGCAAGTTTATGACCTACATACTTTACATGCTGCTACTGACAAATACACTTTTGTCAGTTATTTCTCGAATTCATTTTAATAATAAGAACTACATCCTGAAACACCTAACATTGGCCTTTTTCACACAATTTTATCATACCTATGTACCTCATGCTGGTGTAAGCCCCAAAACTACAAGTGTTAAAATTATAAATGACTTGATGTTCATCATTTGGACATGTCTAGTTATAACACAATCACAACAATGTTCAAAGTAATAAGTAACATTAAAAAAATTATTGATATCATTTGTCCTTATCATATCGATGTATATCGGGAAACCTTCAAAATGTTTAAATATCTGCTAGATATATGGATACCTTACCAACTCTTGTTCGAGCAATAATACCACCATATATTTAGTTTTTTCCTGTGCCCCTGTGGGCATTCTGGGTGAGAATTGGTTCCTGTGAACCTATGTTGGTCAAGAAGTGTATAAGTGGATCAGTGATCAGGCTTGGTGACTTGGTTGATCCATCTCTTCATAATCCGACCGTTTGGATCTTTGCTTTTAATATCAATCACTGGATTGTCTGGCCCAGACTTTATTATTAAGAGGTAGCCATCATTTAGCTGGAATATTGGTGAGTGTGGAATTTAACTACAAACACACACACTCTTAACATGTTATTTATGTCTTATACATTGTATAAATAATAGATATTTGAGATACTAGACTTGAAAGGAAGGTGTGGGAATATATGTGTATGAGTGTAATAACTACAGAAAGAAGCAGCATTTAGATAAGTAGAGGGATCAACTGTCAGACTGACACCCTAGAAATGTTGAATACATGTGTTTACTGTATCTGTATTGCAAACACTATGAGTAAGTGTGTGGCCAGCTACCTCTGTGGTTCGTGTAAAGAGGGAGGTATGTGTGTATCATTGAGAGGAGGATAGAGGTGAGGACCCGAGATGCTGGGCTGTACCTGATAACACTGGAGGGTGGAGACAGGCTAGATTAAATTACTATGCTGCCATACATGAAAAGATTTTGGCCTAATAACATGGCCTTATTTATCAATTAGACATAATGTAGAAATGGTTTGGGTTAGTATTTTATGCTGTCACCTTTAATGAATATTGTAGGTTGATAGGGTAATAACTGTTCGACACATTTCTGTAACTTGCTTGCATACATTAACACGCTAATGCATGCCCATAAATGTACTCTTAACCTTAACCAAAGCAATTCTACCAGAGCAATAGACATTTAAGATAATAGTCTTAGTAATAGAAATACCAGGAAAATGATGAGGACCAAATAAAGGGATATGAAATCTTGGTTTATTTTCAGACGAGATTTTAGGGTAAGTGCTCAAAATCGGTAAACTAAAATATTTTCAGTGAACAATATGCATGAAAAAGCAGTTATAAAAGGAAAATAGCATTAAGTCTATACAGTGGTACAATTCTTGAAACCTAATCTTGGTGTGGTGGATTAGACTAATTGTGTTTGCTTGTCACAGGTTTGATACATGAGTAAACTGTTTGAAACCCATTCTTGGTGTCCCCACTGAAAGGTAGCATGAACCATTATTTACTCATTGATACGCCTTTTAGCATGATTGAAATCCAAAATGACTGAAGCAGTGTAAATTTCAGTTGATTCACTTGGATACAGACTCAAGTGATGTAGTGCTACATGTGCTGCTGTGTCCAGGAGGTAGACACAAGATGGAAGACTCATATATCAACTGTCACACTTCACCTGGTCAGAGGGTCACACCACTGGTCAGACCACACGGAACTTTGGGAGGACCATGTACATATGTTTGGCATCTCAGATGATGTGTATAGGACTAGGTGATAGTTATCAATCTTAGTTTGGTCAGAAATTCTGAACCTGTTTAGCAGGAGTCAATACTTCAACTGTTAGACTTCAATTAATTTGGGGGGATGAGAGGAAGGACATATGTTGTTCAAATCCAAAACCATTTTAATGAGAATAGGTGAAAATCTTTACATTGTGTTCCCCAAATACATTGGTCATATTACCCTGTTACCATTAAGAAGACAACACATCTCCATGCTGTTCATGTGTTAAGAGTGCCAGCTTTATAGAAATATGTCAAACTTAAGATTTTCAGTTATTCAGAAGGAATGAAAGAAGCGTGTTCATTTCTTATACACTATAGATTGTTGAAACTCCCTTGTGTATGAAAGAATAATATTACCCTCACTAGTACATTGTATATGTAGGTTATGGACTGTGTAAAAGAAATAAGGTTGGTCAAGTGTCCACTTGACACAGAGTGATTGCTTCACAGGGGCACCTGCCCAGTACAGGCGGACAGACTGTGCCAGCTCTGTGTACATGGCTGTGATAGATGAGAAACATCTTGGGTGTCCCATCTCTACCTAAAAACATAATACTCAGGCACCATTAAAAGGCTTTTTATGCTTCTTGATGCTTGATACATTTCTCTTATTTTATGATTTGGGTCCTAGACAGTCCATTCTGACTATACTGACTCACAAACATTGTAGCACTATTGCTTTCTTTATCAGGTATAAGGGCTTTGGGAAGCGTAAAGGTTGCAATCATCTCTGGGAGTCCTTGTATACTGCTCAATAATTCTCATGCGTATACCGGTTATTGGGGGAAAAGCTGTTTCTATCCCTCATAATATAATGGCAGTAAACTACTTAATTGGATAGCTTTAACAGTTTCCTGAAGGACTGTCAAATGTGATGTTGAACTATG